TAACTTGAGTGGTCAATAAAGATGTGTTAATGCGCTCATGAAAGGGGCGCCATACCGACCCGGAGAGGGCAAGGAGGAGAATCAAAGGATCATGGTCTGACCAGCACAAGGAGGGGATAAATATCCGCCTGACCAAGGGAAGCTGTTGAACATGCATAAATATATAGTCAATTCTGCAAAAACTGTCATGGGGATTTGAGTAGAACGTAAAGACACGCTCAGTTGGGTGAAGTTCCCTCCAAACGTCCGCCAACCCTGCCGTCTGCAAAAGAAAGTGCATATTTTCCCCTAGCACTAAGTTGTGAGAATGGGCTGTCCCCCGGGCATAGCGCCTATCCAAGGTGGAATCCAAGCTAACATTTGAATCTTCCAGAAAAAGGAGACCCTTGGAGTGTTGAGAAGTGATGTGTAAAGATGAGAAAAGAATTTATACTGAAATAGATTGGGGCATAGTAAGAGACAAAAGTATCCTCCTGGTCACAGAGGGTGCCCTGCAGGAGCAAGTACCTGCCTGTAGGTTCCGCTCTATTCCGAGCACAGACGAAGGGGAGATTGCGTTTGAAAGCAATCAACACACCCGGGCGCTTCTCAGGAGCCGAGGCCGTGGAAAAAGTGGGATAATGAGGCGAAAGATAGTGTGGGGCGGAGGACTGAGAAAACATGGTTTCCTGCAAACATACCATGTCAATTTGTTGCGATTTGAGGTGATGAAAAACTTGTTTAGGCTGCTTCTGAGCTGAATTGAAGCCTTGAATATTTTGTGAGTGTACTTTCAAGAGGGGTGAGGTCATGGTGGGATTGGTGCAGCGCGCTCAGCAGAAAAAGCATAAGTCAGCCAACAAATTCCACTCTCCGGGAGGGTTGGACCATGGCATTCCGAAACCCTGCATAAAACAAAAACAGAAGAATCAGAAAAGAAAAGAAAAATGAGGAAAGAGAAGACACAAGGAGTATGTACAAAAGCAGTTGTATCACACCAGTGGCAAAGTGCATCCTACACTTGAAGGATACCAGTTGGGGTTGGCTCTACCACCGGACACATGGCTGCAAATGAATACATCAAAAACATAAGCCCTCAGGGTGCAAAAAGGCAATAAACACAACATAATGGGGTCCCAGAGTAAGAAAAGTATGAGTCCCCGGATGTGGATACATCTGCAGAACCCTCCCCATTGGAAACCCAGCTTAGCTGGGGGATCCAACCCCCACGAGGGGGACAACTACAGCCTGCCGTGGTACCTAGACAACGCAGCCCAAGTACCCCACCCAACTCCCCGGCAAGACAGACAGCCCGGCACCCAACTAGGGTCTACCTGAGACAACCTCCCTCCCCGGAACCCGGGTTGTTTATGGCCGCCAGCAGGATAGTTGATGACGATGTCTCTTGGGGGCCCCTCTGGTCGCCTGGGACCCAATGCACGATGTATGCGGTCAAATTCGAGTCACTCAATGGGAATAGCGGGAGTCAGTTCCTGAAACAAGGTGGTAGCAGTTGAGGTAAGATCTGTGATGGTTTCCCCAATACCCCGTAAGTGTAGGTTGCTGCGGCGGGATTGGTTTTCAAAATCCTCAAGTCAGATTAACGTATCCACCAATTCTCTCTTAAGGTCTCACAGATCCTGTTCATGGCTTTCAATGACCGTGGCCGCAGTGGTCGACTTTTATCCTCAAGGTCGTTCGTCCCGAAATTCTTGCGAAAGACGATCAGCCAGCTTGGAAGTAGCGGAAGGCAACTCAGTCTGTAGCATGGATTTGAAGTGACCCAGAAGTTCAGCATCCCTCAGGGCTGGAGCGGGAGTCTGCAGGGGTGCCCCGAGCAAAATCCTCTTCACTGGCGGCATCCAGCTCACCCATGGGTAGCGGTGGCGGGGGACCCAAAATCGAGGCCGGGGATGCATTTGCGGCCTCTGGCGGGAAGGCTGCAAACTCCGGCGCGGCCTGTTGGACTCCGATCCATTATGCTCAATCCTCAGATTCGGGGATCGTCGGCTTTCTTTACAACTTACCTGTTCTTGGAGCGGGTCCAGGACAATTGCGCATGTCCTGGTTTCAGGCATGATCAATTGATGATAGCAGTAGTTCTATCATCGATTGATCGTGCCTGAAACCCGGACATGCGCAGTTGCTTCAGGGGGACATATCTACATGGGAGCAGTAGTGTATTTAGATTTTATGCTGCTCTAGGCAACACAAAACTTTTGCGCCCCCCCCCCTTCCCCAATGAGAGAGCGAGAGAGTTCAATAAGTGTGTGTATGTATATATGATTCTCTCCCTTTCATTCTGTTCTCTCTCTCCCCCCTCCCTTTCTCCCCCCTCTTTCTCTCTCTCTCTCTCCTTCTCCCCCCTTCTCTTTCTCCCTCTCTCTCTTTTTCTTTCTCCCCCCCCCCCCTTCCCTCTCTTTCTTCCTCTCTTCCCCCTCTCTCTTCCCTCCCCCCTTCCCTCCCTCTCCCTCTTCCCTTTTCTTTCTCTCTCCCCCCCTCCCTCAGATCCTATGGGACCACACACACCCCTCCTCCCTCTCCAAGGACTATTGATCTCCATGCAGCAGGAAGGGGGGAAGGTGTGTGCAGTCCCATACGATCTGTCAGTGGTAAGTGTCAGTGTAATGTGCTGGATGGATGACAGGAGGGAGAGCCCACAGAAGACAACACAGCTCACCTCTTCCGGGCTCTTTCATCGCTTCTCTCCGTGCTCCGGGCATTCACCTGGTCATGGCTTGCCAGCTGCCGGATGGAGAGGTGGACGATTGTCGCTCTGAAAACAGGGGCAGACTGACAACTCATGGGGCTCCTGGGCATAAGGGGATTATGGGGCCCCTGTGTCCTTGCCAAAACTCAAAAAAGCCTATGAAAAAGGTACCGGGGCATCTCATGGGGCCCCCTACTGACCCCGAGCCCTCGGGCAGTGCCCGAGTTTCCAAATGGTCAGTCCGCCCCCGCTCTGAAACTGTCCTCTCCCATGTCGCCCCCTCTCCCGCCCCCCTAAAAATTGCCTCGCGGTGGATATGCCTCTGCATGGGAGACACATCTTGCGGATACACCGGTGTCACCCAGCAGGATCGTCCGCATGCAACCTATACGGGGTGACACGGGACCCGCTACAAGAAAAGGTAAGTTGTAAAGAAAGCTGACGATCCCCACAAGATGGATCGGATTCATCCTGCGGGGATCGTTGGCTTGCTTTACAACTTACCTTTTTGTGGCGCGGGTCTGGTGTCACTCCGTGCGGTCGGTGTCACCCTGTGCGGACCACAACCCCCACACCTGCCTCGGGACGCCACCGTTTAAAATCCAGTAATACACTGTCTGCCTCAGCCTGCTCTGCACTTGCTCAGTTGCTCTCTATTTTTAGGAACTGTGCCAAACGTAGAGACCAATCTGCTGACAGCCTCAAGATTTACTGCTGCTCCTGGGCTTCAGCAAAATGGCAGCCTCCAGCAAGAAGAAACAGGAATAATGCTGGAGGCAATTTACAGCACACACTAATTTTGGTAGCACAATTATTACTGTGGAATGTTTAAAGCGGCGTTCCACTCACGCTGTCAAAAAATAAAAGTCAGCAGCTACAAAAACTGTAGTTGCTTTTAAAAAACAGCCACTTACCTGTCCCTCTGTTTGTCCCCTGCAGCCCGTTTCACCGGCCGTCCTGTATTCCAGGAGGCCGGCATCTTCAGTGTAGGCACCCGGCTGTGACAGCTTGCGGCTTCACAGTCGGGTACCCACTGCGCATCCGCGAGTAGCGCTGCGCTTCACGAATGGTCCTGTAGTCTTCTGGGACCTGTCACGTGTCCCAAAAGACTACAGGGAGGACACCTTCCGCTTCCAATCGCCTAGGCCAGGGGTAGGCAACCTGTGAGCCACAGGACTACAAGTTCCATCATGCCTCTGCAAGTCATAACTGTAACTCAGTTTTGTAATCTTTGCAATGCCTCATGGGAAATGTAGTTCCACAATACCTAGAGAGCCACAGGTTGCCTACCCCTGGCCTAGGCGATCGGACCAGTGGGAGCGGGTACCCAAAGGTGCCAATTCTTAATGGGGAGCGGAGGAGGAGTCCTTAAAGCAGAACTTCCCCTTTTGGAGCTCTGCTTTAAGTAGTCATGGGTAACGTTCTGCTATAAGCAAAATTTGGTACGACTGTCTGAATTCTTGTCACATTCATCCAGCATTTTGTTTAATAAAATATACTCCTTAGTGTCTACTCTTTTGGTCATAACTTGATTTGCACAAAAACAGCAAATTATATCACACTAAGCTAAAAGTCCTATTTATTTAGGACCTTAAATGCATAAAACAATTATACATATAATGATGACATTATGGAATTAAAGAAAAAAAAGGCAGACACATTTTTAACAATATTTGTACATTTTTATTTAAACATTGATGTTGATACATTTTAAAATTTCTGGTTAGTGTTAACCCTAGCCATTTAAACTTAATAAAAAAAAAAAAAAAAAAAACGTTGCAATTCTCTAAAGACCTTGTTGAATCCTCGGCAAACAATCAAATACAAATTTACATTACAAACATATACAGCTTCCAAAGTGTATTATCAATCTTGTTATTCACACTTCTGCCATCTTGCTAGGTCAGTGATGTCTCTATTTTATTTGGTCCAGCTTTGTAACTTCTAGTGTTACCTCTATGTCCAGCTAGTTCATAGCCCTTGTATGGTTCACTTTATCTACATAGGACAGAAAATGTCCAGAAGGGATATCCAGTCAACTAGTGTTTTCACGATTAAAGTCCATAAGCAGTTCATATTGGGGATGTTACATTTACGTTACTCTGATGAGGTTCACATTTAGCTATTTGACAGGTGTCTGTTTTTCAGTCATCAGAACATCTTAAAGCCAGTGTTAATACCACAATAAGCCAGTGGGCATAGGATTGCTGGACAATATACTGTAGAATTGAAGTAGATAACTCATATGTTTATAAATCCAAATGCTGCATGAGAGTCTAGGTTGAAATAATAATCATTCAAAAAACCCTATTTATTTGCACCCACAATCATCTACAGCCATGTCCTCATAATGTCTTAGCACAACATTGTCATTGTTATCATAATATAGCATAGAGACGACGGGTGATAGCTTAGTGGGAGCACAACAAGGGAGTGGTGTGATGTCTGGCTCTATAGAGTGCACCAATGTCTGTAGCACAGCATGGTTGGTACCTTTAAGCATCTCTGTCAGTGGGTAAGGGCACTCTCCATGACAGTAGTTGGCCATGTAGCCTCGTGGAGCAATAACCCAGTTTTGCCAGCCAACATCCTTGAAGTCAATGTAGAGACGCCTTTTTGAGCATATGTTACTGGGAGTTGGCAATGACGACTCTGCACTTCTTTTGGATCTCGAGGCTTTGCAGCTAGTAGCGTCAAGTGATACTGTAACCAGAGAGATGTGGACAAAAGAATGAATTTGTTCACACAGTTGGGACAATTTGTTAACTGTTTCTTCGTCACCTGCAAATATTTCCATAACTAGACCCATATTGTTCTCAGAGGTGGTCCAGTCCTGTGCTACCTTTGTCAGATTGAAATTAAGAGACTTGTGAAGTAGACGAAAGGACTGTGCAAAAAGAATTTTCCTGTTTGTATGGTGGTCTCGCATTACCTTTAAAGACATATGGAGTGGACGGTACAAACGAAGCTGGAACTCGTGTCCATGATATGTATTGTGCTTGAACTTGATCTCAAGTTGGCCAAAGGTCACCTGCTCCTTTTTCTCAATTACAGAAAGGTCAAAGAAGAGATGTTTCTTGAAGCACAAGGACTTGTGTGGTACTTCATTGGAGATGAAAGGTCCTGTGGAAGAGAAATGGATAAATATTTATGTAACTTATTTGAACAAGAACATGTCAAGTATGAAATAAGATTGTAGCTCACTTTTGGATGGAATAAGTAATGGTTAAGATCCAAAATTACATTTTATTCTGTCTATATCTTGTTTGTGAGAGTTACCTTCACTTTTGCTCTGAGGGACACAACAGGAAGTGAGAGGAAATCTCTCCAAAGCAAGGGGTATTCTCAGGCCTTACTCACATGGGCCTACCGATCTGTACACCCCTGTGAAGGGGCAGTCTTCACCGGAGTGGGATATACGTGGTGGCTGCACAGATCTCCATGCACATCCTGGAGTGTACATCTGGCATACATGGATATGCACACTGGGATGTGCGTGGAGATTTATAGATATTCATAGGGAACCTAAATATCTATAAATTAGACAAGCTTTGTATATTTCTCATACTACAGTTAAGTTGCACATTAGTAACATGACATTCAGATATACAAACATGCTTCGACCGTTGTTGAATCATCTTTTGTCCCTATTTCTCTCCTAAACATTGACTTGGACTGCCTATGTGTGCCAAAGATTATATGTTAAAGAAGGGATGTCAAAGTAAAATTAAACCATAAGCAGGGGCGGACTGACCATTTGGAAACTCGGGCACTGCCCGAGGGCCCAGGGTCAGTAGGGGGCCCCATGAGATGCCCCTGGTACCTTTTTCATAGGCTTTTTTGAGTTTGGGCAAGGACACAGAGCCCCATGATCCCCTATTGCCCGGGGACCCCATGAGTTGTCATTCCGCCCCTGACCATAGGTGTATCTGAGTGGAATACATTTGCAAGTGGTCACAATATGCTTTCTGAGGTCCACACTTGAATAATTCTAGAAGAAGGTTATAGCACTTTGGGAATTATTATTACACTGACGATTGCAGCTTATGTTATTCTAAGGAAAATGGTCCAGAAAACATTTCGGAAAATTTTCAGCTGTAAAAATGATGTAAGGAAATATAGCGTTCATAAACTTTTGTTTAACAGATTGGCGCTTATTTAATTGACATCATTAAATGGTCTCAGGGCCACAAAAAAATATTTGTGCTGCATGGACCGAAAACATCAGCTTGACATGCATGTGTTAAATGAATGGCAGAGAGAGGGAGTGGACAGCTGACACAACTTTTCTCAGGGAAATCAGCAACAGTAAAAACATGTTTTTTTTTGCAGCTGCTATTGCTTCTGATAAAGACTATTTTCTGTGAGTTCTGTGATGTAACTTAATAGTTTATGGTCAGAGAACTTCCTCATCTGCATGGTGATAGATAAGAGATGGAATCAAGATCTGAGTTTATGATCCACAAACTGTCTTTTTACAAGTGCATTATTATTATACAGGATTTATATAGCACCAACAGTTTGCGCAGCACTTTACAAAATGAAGGCAGACATTACAGTTACAATACAATTTGGTAGAAGAGGAAACAGAGAGCCCTGCTCGTTAGGGTTTACAATCTAGGAATAAACACAAACCATACTATCACCTGTACATACATGGTTATTCCTTACAAGCCTTAGGGCAGGGCAACAATCCATTGGGGTAAAATTAAGTGGCTATTTTATTTTCCCAAGTACATTCTGCTAAATACAGTGAAAGTCAGAAACAAACTATCATTGCTATCCTACTGTTGAAAAGTCTAGATGCCTGGCTGTCTCTGGCTTTGATACTCTGAGACACTAACCTCAATCAAGTTGGTAGATCAGGAATGTTAGTGAGAATTCCTAATCTGCTTGTTCTGAGTTGGTGGGGTTGATTTACTAAAGGCAAAAGGGATTTTCACTTTACAAAGGAAGTTACATTTTGAAAATAATTTTTCCTCCTAGTTTAGGGAAAGTTGTGAAGCTCTGCTGACTTCCATCATCCAATCGAGTGCAAGCAAAAACGCATTTTTTTTCACTTGTACATGATCTTTGCAAAGTGAAACGTCATCACATTCATTCACCAAGCTCTGGGGGAAATTTCCCTTGTAAAGGGCAACTTCCCTTGCAAACTGAACCATCTATTTGCCTTTTAGTACATTTACCCCTGTGACTTAGAAATTAAAGAAAGGTCTGCAAAGTCTCCATACCTATTTACCAAAGTTTTCCAGACATTATGCTTACTATGCTGAAGTAAAAAAAAAAGTTATGTTGCTGGATTTGAATATAGAACCACCAATAAGTAACATAAATAAATAAATATTGGTGAAAACTTTTCAGTCCAATAAATAGTCCTGCACCATGTGAAAACGTGAAAATAATGCTCAAAGCAGATCTATGTATCTTGATTCCAAAGGGGTCGATAATGAATTCCAAAAATTCTTCATAAACCTCACATAAAACAAAAACTAAACATAGTGTATTAACTTTGGACAACAGAAAATGTGCCACTCGTGCTACATGCAAAATCAATCAAGTGCCACAGCAATCGTGGAAACACGCGGCTGTTCCTATCCCTAAGGACTTCCACTTACCACCATTGGAGGTGGCCATTAGACTTTCCTTTTTCCATGTGGACGCCGATTGTAGTCTTCTTTTTCTCCCATTATGGATGCCGATTTCAGCCTTCTTTTATGCAAGTTGGATAAATAAATTGCATTTTTACTTTACCATAATACTGACCCCTGATCTGTTTATGAGGTCTGTGGAAGAGTATCCTGTGAAGTATATGGCGTTTTGAAGAAGTTTCATCCCACTTATGGATATTTTGCTGGTTATTTTTACCTTAGGGTAATTATGCATTTTTACCTTACCGTTTGCAGTGGGACCACTTTCATCTAGTTTTTATTTTTCACTTTGTGTGCAGTATACCTTATGGGTATAGGGATTTTTGTGTGCAATATTTTTATATTTTATTTTAGTTTTGATTTGCTTATTGGAGTTATTTTATTCATTTTATTTATTTATTAGTTTTGTATTTCTATTGTTATTTTTATTTAATTTATATTTGTTTATTTTATATAAGTTTTATATATATTTTTTTTCTTTCTCCTCTCCTGTTTCCACGATTGCTGTGGCACTTGATTGATTTTGCATGTAGCATGAGTGGCACATTTTCTGTTATCCAAAGTTAATACACTATGTTTAGTTTTTGTTTTATGTCAGGTTTTTGAAGAATTTTTGGAATTCATTATCGACCCCTGTGGAATCAAGATACATAGATCTGCTTTGAGCATTATTTTCACGTTTTCACATGGTGCAGGACTATTTTTTGGACTGAAAAGTTTTCACAAATATTTATTTATATATGTTACTTATTGGTGGTTCTATATTCAAGCCTGCTGTATTATATAGTTGTTGTTCCTTTGGGGTGAAGGTATTTTTAGGCTGGCTTGCTTTGGTATCTTATTAGGGAATAGGGGGTTGTGTGCTATTTGATTGTTATTATGTTGCTGGATTTGTGAATGCTTGAAAATAAAATGTGGATAAACAAGGTCCTTAGGATAAATGTTAGTAAGACTGCAGTTCAATCTATGAATATGTAGCAAATTTCTAAACATATATATTACGCCAATAACTAGAAAGAAATACTTAAATTATGGACAATTATGAATGTCATCATGGAACATTGGAACATACTTAAAATTATATTACACAAAAAGTATTATGGCTATCCTGTATATGAAAATGGAAAGAAAAAAGTGAGTGTGTATGTATATGTGTGTGTGTATGTATATGTATATATATATATATATATATATATATATATATATAAAAACACATGCACACTGAAAATTAATTATACATATTATATTAAAGCATTAAGCAGATTAGTTTACCAACCTTGATCTCGGTAGGATCTCACAATGTTCCCTGGAACGTGAAAGCCCTCAATCCTACAAGGATTCTCTGTATCTATTCCTGCCTCAAAGATTTTCCAAAGTGCGTTTGGTACGGGGCCAGGAGAGACTGGTTTTGGTCTTCCATTCAATCCCAAGGCTTTGAGAAGCATCCTCTCCTGAAAAGGTAGCTCAGTGCAGTCAGCCAGCAAAATGAGGGCTAGAAGAAAATAAATGAGCACAGGGACATCCATGGTGCTGCTACTTTGTCATCTGCCTTTCTGCTCTTGTGTCCTTTCCTAAATACTAGCTCAAGCATCCAAAGTGTGAAATTTGACAGCTTGCTGGAGTCAGGAGGGAGGCGTTAAAAAGTCATCAACCTGCTTCCTGCTTTTTTTAATGCAAATAATCACATTCCAAAGGTCATCTTACCAATTTTCACTTAATGAGAATACAGTTTATATGCTTTTAAAATGTGTCTACATTTTGTATCTAATTTCCATACCACCATTCTTTTAATTATCGTTCAAGGACAATAGAATTACAAGGACCTCTGGATGGCATTGGCTTTAGGCTGAGGTTTTTGAAATACCTATGAAGATGCATAAAGTGTAAAGGATGGATTTGGGCATAATCTGAGCACTTTAACACACCTATATCAGACATCTAGCTCAAATGCAAGTCCTGGTTGACTGTGTGCCGGAAAGACATGCTTCAGACACATTCAGGTAATACATATTACATCCAAAACAGTGATGATGAGAAGGTTGGCTAATCTGTCCCAACACTAAAGCTTCCATGAAGCCTCATCCAGCAGTGTCTGTGGGTTGCCTAATATATTGTTATATAATTGTCTGAACCAGTCAAGAAAGCCAAATCCAGAGACTATTCTCTAATGTCTATTAAGCCGGCCATAAATATAATAAGGTGATTGCAGATGTGGTCTGACCATTCTTGGGCATCACTCTTGATCAGCATGCATATAAACATGAATACGTGAATCAACTAACTATTCAAAAATATTCCTATGCAGAGTGCTGGAGATGAAGACATGAAATTCACCCAATGAGGATACAAATGGTCAGATCAAATGACTATCAACACTTTGGTAGCTTAATTTATAATACAATGGCAAAAAAATCTCAGTCTTCCTTTTATTTAGTAGCACCATGCTCCTCAGTTGTATAGAAGCTATGTAGAATGGTTTACACTAGTAGTTTTAACCATGTGTTGATTATGATGAACGAAGAAACGCTATAGCATTTATTACTTTTTTTATACGTTTTTGTTGTGTTTTCGAAGTGGCGAAAAAGCATTCAAGAATGCTTGCTAAATGCAAAAGAAAGTGTTGTTTTTCTAGAAGAGAATAAAGGGGAAGTGATGTAGGGGGAATTGTTTTCTATGGGGAATGGTTGGGTTGTAGTGTACTGGTAGGCATTTTTGTGAATTCTATGCAAGATGGTTTTGTGTACTTTGATCTCTTGGCTTGGTCCAGCTCAAGATGATTATGGAAAAATTGTCACAGTCACTTGTTAGCACTGACTCTTGCTGGAACTGAAACAAAAAGCTTTGCATTTGGCAATAATGGCACTGTCAATATTGCTGTCTGGCTTGATGGTTTTATCTGCACCCAGAAGCAAATGATGTTACCACACAGCTGCCTTGTGACAGCAAGTGGCTGGAGAAGCTCTATTATTTTCCAGCGCGTTTTGGGCTACAGGAACCTCCACTGCCTTTCCTTCATCGTCCAGCTAACACTTTATAAATGCTTCACTAACATGCCATAAATGCTACAATTGCAGTTAAGGCACATTACCATTGAAATTAACAGAGGCAGCTGCTAAGTGTTGCTGCTTCATGAAAGCTACACGCTGCTTCATTTTTAACACGCCACAACCCTACCGCTCCTATGTGGACTGCACTGGGTGGTGCCCATTTTAATATGCATGGCAAACATTGAAGGCTTTGAAAGTGCTGCTTAAATGCTGCTTGAACACAGGGTATTAACACGCGCGAATGAGCCCATAGATCAATTTATGTGTTTAGTTATGTTTCTGGACTTTGGGGAAAAAAGCACAGCATGCAAAAAAAAAATGAATTTTTCAATTACACATTCATATATCTGCTGTTCGCCTTCACTGCAAATTGTCACCAAGAGACATGTAGCAGCCATATTTGTTATAAGAGGCAGATTTCATGATTACATTTTTTTTATATATATTTTTTTTTTTTATTGTAAATTTTTATTGAAGGCCAAAGCCCATTTTTTTCAGAACAAGATTACAACAACACATTTGGTGTAAACATTGCAGTGAAAGAAGAGAAAAAAACCCCAAAAGAAACAAAATAAAAATGAACATATTTAAACAGCATGGTAAACTGGTCATTACAAAAACACAAGACAACATAAAGCTGCACATTGGTTACAATAAATGTCAGAGGTTTGATAAGTAAAGAGGTATCGGAGCTACACAAGGGAGGGGGGGAGAGGGGAAGAGGAAGGATCTCTACCAAAGGGATAGTGATCCCATGGATCCCGAATAGATCGAAAGTTACCTGAATAGTCACCCACTAGGGCTGTAAGATATTCCATTTCTCTGATTTCAGAGATTGCTCGTAAAAGATGACTTAGTGTGGGGGCATCGACTGATTTCCTGAGTTGTGGTATCACCAATCTAGCAGCCGTCAGAATACCTCTTAGATTGCTTAGAAATGCCCCGAAAGGGTAGCCCCAAAAGATAATGTAGCGGGTTAACATCGAGTACTTGCTCCAAGACCGTTTTAACCGTAGTGCAATAACCCGCAATCTGTGGACAGAACCAAAAGATGTGTCCTAAGGTGCCTTCTCCTCCCATGCACTTGTCAGACAGATTCGGATTGATCGCATGAAGCACTACAGGGGTCTTGTACCAATGCATCAATATTTTATATACATTTTCTTTATACACAACACAACAAGAGGTTTTAGTAACAGAGTCCCATATCATCTGCCAACATTTCAGAGAGATTGGGCGTTGAAGTTCATTTTCCCATCTCTTCATATAACGGGGGGAGTTATTAATAAGAGGACCGCTATTGAGAGGATTACGTTTTTAATACTGTACAATGTGTGCATGGTGGAAGAATAGTTTTCATTCTCTTCAGATCACACTTTAAATTCTTTTTATGTTTATAAAATGAAAAAGTCCATCATACTCAAAGACACCTGTGCCCAGTGTTTCCTTACTCTCCCTCAGTAATCATTTGCTCATCACCAATGCACATATTGTAACAATAAAAGGGATGTTCTCACATACTGAGCAAAATAACATATAAAATAATACGTACTACTTTTGTTATAGACTTGTAAGGAAAATGTTGATTGATAAACAAGCATTATGACTGATATAAAAGAAAATACAGTTGTAACAGTAAATAATACGTAGTTCAGCTTTTCTTTAAGGCATACAGTACATTTTCAATGCATTGCATACTAGTCACAAATATATTTCTCCATTGGAGAACTATTGCGGCCACCCTCCCCCACATCCCAATTGCCACACATTGAATCCACATCACTGTCAACATCCAGAGGCCATATACTGTTAAGCCCTGTACACAAGGGCTGAAAATCAATCAAGTGCAAGGACAGTTTAAAAAAAAAAAATTATTCATGCACTTGATTGGATGATGAAAGTCAGCAAAGCTTCACTTTTTTAGTAAGAATTGGGGAAAATTTTCTTGCAAAGTCAACAGTCTATTTTCCTTTAGCAAATCAACCTCAACTCAAAATGGATTCACACAGTAGGAAAAAAGTGGTTTAAGCAAAGAACAAAGTTGATTGTTTCTATTCATACAAACTTAGTTGGGGGGCTAAGCAGTGTGGCTGCTTGAATGGTGAGAGCAACTTTTAGGCCACAGCGGCCTATGTGTTACCTTGCTCCCTAGGCAGGAAAACTGCCTTGATAGCAGGAGCCCTGGATGTGAAAGAATGTGAATCCAGCCAGATGTCTGTGACCATTGACATAAAATGATTACCACACAGTCCAGATGATCAGTATGTCTATGAGTCAGACACCGTACCTGATCAGTTTTGGAGGAGTTGTCAACTTGAACGTAATGGCCTAGTTTTACTGTTTCTCTATGATAACCACAGAGTAGAGTGCTTGCATGTTCTCTTCAACAGCATAACCAAGGTTCTCAGGCAATCTAAATAAATATACACCGATCAGGATCAGCCGTAACATGATAACCTTCCACTATAACCCTTTGAGGCATGGACTCCACTAGATCTTGGAAAGTATGCTGTGATATCTGTCATCAAGCCATCAGTAGCAGATCCTTTAAATCCTGTAAGTTGTAAGGTGCAGCCTTCATCATCAGACTTGTTTTGCCAGCATATCCCAAGTTGGGAGGCCAAATCAACACATCAGGCTTAATGTTGTGTTCCCCAAACCTTGAATTCATCAGACTAGGCCAGGGTTCTTCAAACTTTTGTAAAGAAAGGGCCAGTCAGACTTTAGGGGGCCAGACTGTGGCCAGTGGGAGTAAACAATGCCCGATCTTTGGTATTAGGGGGAGAAATATTTGGTGTCAGTGGAAGGAATAGTACCCTATTTTTGCTGTCAGTGGCAGAAATAATGCCTCAAGGGCCATATAAAGGCAAGCAATTGGGTGTAGTTTGGAGACCACTGGACTAGGCCATTGCTCTGTGGTGCAGTTCTGATGCTCATATGCCCATTGTAGGCAATTTGGCTGTGGAGACGGGTCAGCCTGGGCACCGCATGGCTATGCCTATGCAGCTCCATACACAAGAAACTGCAATGCACTGTGCACACATCTTTGTATCAGAACCAGAAAAAAGTTTTTGTAGTTTCAGTGGCTCTTCTATTGGATCGGACCACATGGACCAGCCTTTGCTCCTTGCTTGCAGCCATCAATCAGCCTTGGTCACCCATGACTCTGTGGTTGATTTGCTGGTTGTCCTTTCTTGGACCACTTTTGTTATTTCCTGGCTACTGCAGACTGCGAACATCCTACAAGAACTGCAGTTTTGCAGGTGCTCTGATCCAGTCATCTAGCCATTACAATTTGGCTCTTGTCTTAGTCATTCAAATCCTTACAATTGCCTATTTTTTGCCTGTTATTTTTTAATTGCCTATATTTTGCCTGTTTTCAAGACATCAACTTCAGG